AGACAGGTTGAAGTGTTCTCCCACCGGTTTTTGAGTATTATGATTCCTGATGGCAGATTTGTGTCCATTAATTCTTTTGCGGAGAGACTGTCCGGTTTGGCCAATGTACATGGCAGAGGGGCATTGCTGGCACATGGCAGGTGCCACAAGTACTCCTGTTCTTTTTGCGGATACAGACTAACACGGCTGCTACTCTGAAACCTGTCATTATGCATTCCTTAAACTATTCATTCCTTGTCCACTGCTGTTGAGGCTATTGATAAAGGGTGGCAGTTTTATCTTTATGATGTGGATGCTAGTCCACTAGGAAACTAGTCTTAGTATTATTGATTCAGATCATACAAGCTAGCACGCAGAGTGGCTGGGCTGGATTTAAACAAGATGAAAGGTGTCATATCTTATTGCTGTGGGGTCAATGGAAAAAACTCTACCAGGTATTTCCACTGAGTTCACTGGTGCCAGAAAATGAAATTGTGGAACATCTAGACCTCTTTTGTCCTCTGGCCCCTACTGTGTGTCTCTTTTGTAACTCTCCTTCTTACCCTATTTGTCTATTCTCAAGAAGCTCTGCATGCATCACTATTTATCTTGAGCTAACATAGTTTACCCTTGGTCCAGATTGGAATGTTTTAGTAAATCTGTTCATATACATTCTATATGACTTTCTGTTCTGTTTAGGTTCTTGGATAGTGCCCATTAGTGTAGTCTGAGCACTTTTGACATTTTATTTCGCTAATAGCCCGTGTACAACTATTTTGATGGTGGTTTTCAGTTTATCTTTGAACAAATGTGGAGGTAAAGCCTCATAAACTGGCAAGTTCTGGTAGCCATTTACTTTTTCTGGGCTCTCAAAACTTTATGGGTATATATTTAATTGCTGTTTATGTAACTCACATTACGCTAGTGTAGGTATTTGTCTCCCTTTACTGGCTGTCTCCCTCTACTCTCTCAACCTAAGAGATTAATGAGTTTTCTATAGCAGCCTGCTAGGGGAATTAGTATTTTAGTTAATGCTTTTAGTGCAATAGGTTCCAAGCTCAGTCCTTGGTGGACATTCATCCTAAGTTGTGGCCCTGTTGCTGGAATGTTCCTGGAATTAGTTGTCTTCTAGCTAGAGTAGCAGCTCTGTGAGGCTTATCTTCTACAACAGTGGCTCTCAACCTTTCCAGACTACTGTACCGCGTTCCCAGGTTTCCCTCACTACTTGCTTACAAAATCAAACATAAAAATACAAAAGTGTCCCACCACACTATTACTGAAAAATTGCTGACTTTCTCATTTTTACCATATAATTATAAAATAAATCAATTGGAATATAAATAGTGTACTTATATTTCAGTGATTAGTATATAGAGCAGTATAAACAAGTCATTGTCTGAATGAAATTTCAGTTTGTACTGACTTTGCTAGTACTTTTTATGTAGTCTGATGTAAAACTAAGCAAATATCTAGATGAGTTGATGTATCCCCTGGAAGACCTCTGCATACCTCAGAAGTACATGTGCCCCGGTAGAGAACCACTGTTCTATGAGATCAAAGCCAGACGAAGCCTCAGTGTTTGGTTGTGTCAGTTGCACTTGGATAAACAATAACTTGCTTGCTTGCTTTCTTCCTCCTTACCTCCCTCCCTCCAGTCATCTACAGTTACCCAAGCTCACACAGACACCAATACGTTTTCCTGGATGAATCTCTTATTTACTAATGATCCTGATGACCAGTTGAGATTAGCAGGCAGGTGTCATCCCCAGTAAAGCATATGGATTAGATGGAAATAATAATATTATCTATTTTGTTCGAGGGTTTTTAGAAGTTTTTAAACAATTTGGCTTGTTTTTTAGTAATTTAGAAATGGGGAGAATTGCTTAAGTCAGAAAAAAAATGAGAGAAATTTTCTTCTTTACATACCTTTTTGCCACATATACACACCTTCCTAAAGTCTGACTCAAACTTCTTCTCTTGCCCACCTTCCTCGCCCTCCTATGTGCCATCAGTGTCAACATCCACACACAAAGAAATCTCACTGTCTAGCAATAATTGTTGTCTTTCACATGGATACATGAATCCTGCATGAGGGAAAAGCTTGGGGAATAGCCTTGGTTTGATTTAATTTTTGGAATTTAATTAAATGCTAGTTTTATACTCCAAGGTAATGCAGACTTAATTAGTGCAACACTATTCTCTGATCTTCCTGGAGCAGACTGCATGTGTACAGACCATTTTTTGTGCTTCTCATTCCAGCCCTGTTAAAGATATCCATGATGTTCTTGAAGTGACAGTGTTTGATGAAGATGGAGATAAACCCCCTGATTTTCTTGGAAAAGTTGCTATCCCTTTGCTGTCTGTAAGTTACCTTGGCACGTGTATCATTCGAACATTGATGGTTTCACTGGGAGCAAGTTGCATTTCTTTCCCTCTTCTTTCTGTCTCTCTGAAGCAACTCAGATCTAGATATAAACAACCTCTTTTTGGGGGTGAGGGTGTAGGGGGGGTTGTGTGTGTATGTATATATGTATACACACACATATACATACAAGTGTGTGTAAGTGTATATATGTATGTCTTGGTTGGTCAGTGTTTACAGTCCTCCTTACTGTCACAAAGGTTGCCAATCCCCTTCAGTCCAAATATGGTTGATTTGGAAAGAAAACTACTGAAATATCTGTAGTTCATCAGTGCAATATGCCATTTTGGTCTGAAAATATAATTGCACTGTTTTTCTGTATGTTTGTCACCTCACCTTTCAGTAGTAACAATTCAGATATGTCTTTGTTCATTGTTGCTTCTCGATACTCCCAAGAAAGTAATTGCACATCACAATAGGATTGACCAAATAGTTGTTGTTGGCACAGCTGAGCAAAATTACATAAAAGGGTGTGTTTTACTACATAGTCCTGCAGTTTTTGTTCTGTAAGCAAATGTGAAGAGAGGGCGATCATGGGAGAATAGAAACAGAACTGCATTCTGGTATCTCCTAGGAACTCCGGTCCTGGTTCAGGACCCCATAGCTCTAAGCGCTCTACAAACACAGAACAAAAAGACAGTCAGTCAGTCAGTCCCTGCCCCAAAGATTTTATTATACAAGTAAAAGACAGAGGACAACAGATGGATACAGACATAGATGGGGGGAAATGCAAGGAAACAATGAGACAACACACAGCATGACAGGCAGTGTGAACAGTATCACAGTGAGTATTGATAACACCCCCGGTAGTAAAGTTGGAAAATTAGCTTGCATGACAAATCCCTGTTTTCATGTGCTAATGGCTTGTATGAAATAAGTTCACATTTGGGGCTGAAACTTTCCATGCTGGTCTCTTCAAAAATAAATAAATAAAAGAGCAGAGGGTGATGGTGTGGGAAGAAAGTAGATCAAAATCTTTTCAGCTGCTTTTTGGAAGTTTAGGAAAGCAAGAAGCAAACACCTTTCTCATTGTAAAGAAGTTGTATTCACTCATTTAAAAACAGAACTACAACAACAACAACAACAACAAATGGCTGGAGTTTTAAAGCTGGCTGGGACATAGTCTTCACTGGTTTGGTGTGTGTGTGGTGGGGAGGTGAGGTGGGGGAAATTACAATTAAAATAATTAAGCAAGCGATCAAAAATGGAATAAAAGATGTTCAGAGTTGTTCCTCCCTGTAAATATCAAATGGTTCTTCACATGAAGCTGACTTTAATATTGTTCTAAAATTGCAGATGTCAATGACTTTGGAGTGTGCTCAACAGTACCAGAATCTTACCAGAACTCAATGAATGCCTGTTCCCTTTATGATGTCACTTCCCATTCTCTCTGCTTGAAAAATTAAGGGATGACAGGAGCTGTTGAACAATTTACATGAGGGAGATTGTGGGGTGGGGAACAACACCACTGCTTGCCCCATCCTCCAAAACGAGTGCTTTAACATCCAAGATTGGGCAGTGGGGCACTCTCAGGGTTAGGAGATGTAACATTTTAGTGTGTCTGCAATTTTTACTGCAATCTGCAGTATTTTATATATTCTACCTTTTCATTTTGCATCAAGAATTATTTTTTATGTCTGAAAATATCTGCTTCCCTATTAAACCAGTCCTGCAGAAAATTGTTGGCAGCCAAAGAGGACCAGCAAAGTGAGAAACTCAGGCCCCAATCCAGCAAGCATGAAAGCACATGCTTAATTTTCATGCTGGGAGTAATCTCACTGACTTCAGTGAGACAACCTATGTGCTTAAAATTAAGCATGTGCTTAAGTGCTTTGCTAGATAATTTCAGAGCCTATTTGTGACATTATGAATCACAGAAAATTTAATTATTTTAAAAAAGGAAGTTAAGTTTTAAAAAACTACATTAATTGACTAACATTGTTTCCAGCAGCAATGTTAACATAGCCACAGTACATATATAGTGGGGAGCATTTTCTATTCTCTGCATGTGTGTTTGGTTGGTGGTGGAGGTGTCAGTTACGTGGCTTACTATATCACTGTTTTATATTTTAAAATATTTATCATTCCAACATATAGGATGTCATGTACAGCAGAGTGAACACTTCTGTGAGAACCTTACCTTTTGCAATCTCTGCCTTGTGTGCAATTTTAACTGCATTAATGTAGGTATTTGCATTTCATATCTACTTTATCAGAACCTGTATATATGAGGCATTGGAAAAGTACTAAGAAGCATTCAGTAGTCAAGTGGCTACCAAGCAAACATATCAACTTTGATTTCAGTGTAGATGTTTATGAAAGGGGTTGAATACAGAAGGCAAGCTCTGTGGATCCATGTGATGATAAATGGCTACCTTTTGTATGAATTATCTGCATAAAGCTAATATTGATAATCCAATACCACAAAATAAAGTGCAGTTATACTCTGAAAAGTGATTCTGTAAGAACAGTGCTCATGGGTTCCAGTGTGTTCTTCCTCTATGATCTCAGTTCACAGTCTCTTGCTTTACAAGTTAAAAGAGATTTGTTTTTTCTAATTGTCAGCATAACTCAACCAGGGATATGAAAGTCACACTGAGTTCTTTCTTGTTGATCATCACCAGAAATAAAGTCTAAATAGTATCATTTTAGGCAGAGGTGGGACTCAATAGTTCTGGAAATCAGGTCCCATTTATTTATGCACCTAAATATCAGTTTTGGTGCATAATTTTAGTTTGAAAAATTTGGTTTTAAGTAAATGAACTGGAAACAGAAAAATGGATGGACTAAAATGGGCCTTTTTTCCTCTTTAATTCCCTCCCCCCCATCTTTATTTTCTCTCTTTGTGGGAATGAAGGATGGGGTGAATACAGAATGGTATGGGTGGAGTTTAAATGCATGACTTTTGTAAATGTTACTATTTGAAGGCCTGATCCGAAGCCCACCGTTGCCCAAGGGAGCATTTCCATAGATTTCAATGTGCTTTGGATTAGATTTGATACGAACCTAGTCTCATAATATGTAAAAGTGCTTCAAATAATACATGTACATTCCTTCTCAGATTAGAATTCCAGGGTGTTTTGCAACCCTCTTAGTACTCTGCTACTGTGACTCCATGAGTTCCTTAAGACATTCATTTTCTGTTTGTCCATTTTAGTGGCATGAGTCATTGACATCTGCAATTTTAGAACAATATTAAAGTCAGCTTCATGTGAAGAACCATTTGACATTTACAGGGAGGAACAACTCTGAACATCTTTTATTCCATTTTTGATCGCTTGGTTAATTTTTCCCCAAGTCCTCGTATCCCTGATGTTACTGGAAGAGAGTGGCTCGAGCAGCTGCTCTCCTGCAGAACCTGTGCTTGCCAAATCGTCTGCATGATCGGCAGCAGGCTGTGTGGGCTCACAGTGAGGAGATGTTAGATTTGGATCCTCTGTTGATTTTATAGGCATTTGTTAAGTATCCCTTAGGAAGCCTGTAACAAGGCAGAGGAGGGGATTGTGTATGTGTGTGGTAGAGTCCAAACTCCATTCAGTCTGGGTTCTTTGTCCAAGATTTGAGGCAAAAAAAATTGTTTATGCTTTCTCAAGCCAACTGATTTTTCTTCCTTCCCTTCCAAACTTCTCTGCCTCCTATTTCATGCAAATGTAGTGTAAATATACTGTTCTCTGCCTATGATTAAAAATCATTTAGCACCTATTAAGTTAGTCAGAGAATTGCAGTGTTCTGAAACTCTCTTCTTTGAAATCGGAGTCTTTTTTTTTTTAAACCCAATAGTGTTAGCACTTTGTCCGTACATTTGAGTGTACCCTCTGAATTCTTTTGAGAAATATATTACAAGAGAGCTGTAGTTGGAATCCCATGGATGGTGGCCGGTAGCCACACAAACAGTCTAATTCATAGGTGATTGGGCTTAACCTTTGCCTGGCATTAAATCCATCGCCGAAAACCAAAAAGCATTTCACAATATTTTCTATCACTTTGGTTAAAAATGCATGAGTTTTACTTGTGATATGTTTGCAGGTGAGATGCATTTACTTGTAGATTCACTTATGGGTGACGGAGATTCTCATCTTAATAAAGAATAGACTTCAGTGTGTGTACATATGGTGGTGGTGATGGGGGGTGTTCCCCAACTATTCAAATTTGAGAGTATATTTTGATTCAGATGTGGTCAGGATTTTCTTAGGTTGATGCTTTGCACAAAATCAAGGGTTCAAGCTTGTGAATGCTCATCACCAATGTTAAGCTTAAAGGCACAAATATTAACCAAAAAAACCAGTTGGATTTCCAGACACCATTGTGATATTTGATATTTGCACTTCATCCTGAATTAGTCTGTTCCATACATCATCCAATTAAGGAACAGAAACAATAACATATGGGATGGGGGAAGAGTTCAAAAAAGAATTTGCCAATAATTTCAAATAGTGAATGAATTTGAGAAATTCATATTCGGTTGGTGAACAGAATAATGCAAAATTTGCTGACCAAATCATTTGTGAATTTTTATACAGCTCTAACAATAACATTTAGTACTTAAATTTTCAAAGAACCATAGAAACATTAACTGATTTTTATAATGTCCCACTGCACTAGGTTTTATCTCCATTTTACAGGTAGGGAAATTGAGGCAGGGAAGTTTTGACTCCCCAAAGGCCACACACTGTCTCAGTGTGAGTCTGGATCAGCACTTGGAAGGTTCTGGCATCAACCACTGAAATCAAGACCAGACTTCATCTTTGCTTAAAGCATTTCTGAGGTTAAAAAATAGATTTGGTACTAATGAAAGATGCAGAATTTTGTAACACCCAACTCAGCAATATGGTATGTTCCAGCCAGCTGCGTACCAAATACAATGCATGTACTTTATATATCCTAACCTCAGGAGAGTTTGGCTGAGAGAATTTTTTTTCCATGTTAATCAGCCCATGAAT